AAGGTGACAAAATACTGAAAACCCAAAACAGACATTGTTCGACTCGGACCCCAGATATCAGAATGAACAATAGAAAAAGGAGCATTAGCTCTTTTATTGACTCTATTAACAAAGGAGGAGCGAGTGTGCTTTCCTTGCTGACAAGAATGCCAGTTTAAAGACTTAAGATTGGATAAAAAAAGGAACCATATGCTGAAGCTTGGAGAGGCTTGGATGACCCAGACGGCTGTGAATTAGCTCAGGAGACTCTGTGAGAGAACAGACTACTAGAGAAGGTGGTGCAATCAGATAGTAGAGACCTCGTGACTCAATGCCCGCTCCAATCGTCTTCCCAGTACCCGAATCCTGCATAGAAAAAGATTGTTTAGAGAAGGTAACAGTACATGAAAGAGAATGAATCAACTGGCTAACAGAGATTAAATTAAAAGGAATGCTAGGTATATAATAAACAGAACTCAAAGTTAAAAGGGGAGTTGGGTTGGCTTCTCCAATTCCACAAGCAAGAGCCTTAATGTCATCAGTAAGAGTGACAGAGGGTAGGTTATTAGAATAAGAAAGTGAAGTGAAGAGATCTTTATTACCACAAAGATGATGAGTAGCACCTGAGTCTATTATCCAGGGTCCAAGAGATGATTGATAAAAACAAGCAACATGATTACCAGTGTCTTGAGTAGGATGCTGAGAAGAAACCTTCTTGAGAAGTACCTCATAGTCGGCACTTGAAAGAGTTACTAATCCAGGAGAAGGTGGTGTAGCATCAGTTTGAGCAAAGTTGGGAGTCGGTGGCTTCAAATGATGGTACTTCCTATAGCAACGTTCTTTAAAATGCCCAAGATTCTGACAATAATTGCAACGAGGCCTCTGTCTGCGGCCACGTCCGCGACCGCGTCCACTGTTCCAATTGGAATCACTGGCCCGAGAAAAGAATGGAGATGGGTAGTACTGGAGATGATGCCAGTTATATTTTTGGATGCATTACTTGAGCCCTCCATGACAAAATAAAATAAAGGAAATGACCAAATCTGAAAATAGGAGACGAAGGCGAGCTGTTCTGTTTTTTTTTTTTTTTTTTGCGTGAACAGTAAAGTTGTACGGACGCATGAACAGTGAAAATGTACGGACTCGTGAACAGTACCACCGTACGAACGTGTGAACAATAGAATTGTACGTAATCGTGAACAGTACCATCGTACGGACGTGTGAACAGTGCGCCCGTACGGACTCGTGAACAGTACCGACGTACGGACGATGTGAACAGTAGATCGTACGCCCCGATGAACAGTGAATCTGTACGGACGCAGTGAACAATACTTTTTTTTTTTTTTTGTAGAACCAAGCCGGAGGGACGCACGGCGTTAGAAGAAGGAGAGAACGCCTAAGCAGTGGGCTTACGGTTTTAGCGAAAGCGAAAGCGAAAAATTCCCAGAACAAAGTGCTCTGGTACCAACTTGAATATAAAATAATATGTTGTGTATTGATTTGTGTCAGAGAGTTACAATATATAGAGACCCTAATGGGCTTAAGTGAAAGGCCCAAACCTAATCCTAATACAATCAGAATATTTACGGATAAGACGAAATCCAATCATATCTAATAATATCTAATCATATCTAATCATATCATATCTAATATTCTAACAGTATCAATCAAAGTTGTTCCCTGTCTACTTTTGTGTTTGAATCCTTGGTGGGCTATTCTCCATATATATTTAGTGGTTCGATTTTTAGTTAAGCTGGCCGGTTCAGTTTGATTTTAATAACCTTGCCCATAATGATCCATGGTCCACCCTAAGACATACTATAGCACCTCATATATTTGAAATGTATTATTAATGATTGAATTGAGGATTATAGGATTTAATTAGTGAAAATCCTGAATTTCGGGTTAAAATACACTCGAAGAGCAAAATGATAATTTGATAATTACTGTAACCTTAAAATTATGAAATAATATAATTAGACATTATTTGGTGAAAATAATATTGGATTTGGATTCAGAACGAAATTTGAAAGTTGATAGGTACTTTTTCTGAAAAATTGATGAATAATGATTTTACCGGATGAAATACCGTAATATAATTTTACTAAAAAACTCAGAAATGAAAATTAATATTCTGAATTTGGATATATGTTGAAAGGGATATTTAGAATCAAGAAAAATTATCAGAGGAATTTTGATGGTTTTTGAAAAAAACTCAGTTAGTGTGAGTATAGGAGCAAAAATGAAATTATGCAAAAATTGTCCGAATCTTTTAAAAAATGTAGTGTGATATTATTAAACTATAGTTGTGTATCTTGAATTTAGAAAAATAATTAAGTTTGAAATTATTCAAGAATTCAAGAAGAATAATTAAATAAATTGAATTTAGATATTTTCTAACTTTTTCCAAAAGGTCAAATAAAGTGGTTAGGCTTATTTAATCATAAAATCAACCATTTAAGCTCATCTTCTTCCTTCCTATACATGCTTGGCCGAACCTATTATTGTCAAGGGAGCTTTATTTTTAACTTTTTATTTTGACACCGAATCAGGAAAGTTACAACATGAAAAATATCCAAAATTACTTAATGATCAAAAACCCTAAATGAATTCATTGAGAAAGTGAGTGTGTGAGGAGATCTTTGATCTTGAAGGTGGTGATTTTGTGAGGTGAGAGTAGCCATTGTTGGAGATTTTTGTTGCTTAGAAGCTTGTATATTACTGTCTTGAAGCTTTGGAACTCATTGCTGATAAGATTTCTCAATTTCATCTAGTCTTTCTTATGGATCGAAATTTTATATATAATAGGATGTGTATGTTGGTGGGTATGGTTAGAGAGATTTTATGGCTATGTTCTTTTGGAATTTATTATTCGTATAGATAAATAATTGTAAAAATCCAATAAAAAATTAAGTGATTTTGGTGTCAACACTTAGACAAATTTTCAAGGATGAAAAATTGATGATTTGTGAAGAAAGTCTTTGATGGATGATGTAATTGATTGGTAGTTGTTTGAATCATAAATTATGAAGTTTAATAAGAGTTTTAAGTATGTGAATTGGTTGAAAAATCCTTTGATTCACTTGGTGTTATACTTTCAGCCATGTTGATATTTTTAAGGGAAAAATATGTAAATTGTGTTGTGGCTTGGTGGAGATTGTTTGAGTATATTGGTGATTTGGTTAATGTAGTGAAACAATGATTGAAATGATTGAATTCATGAAAAATCTTTCTTGGAGTCTTTAAGGTAACCCACAGCCTTATGGCTTTAAAAACGTTTGGAATTATGGTTAATTGTAATGGAGTGTAATTATGGTGTAATATGGTGTGTGAGGTACTTGTGAAGTAATGAGATTGGTCGGTTTGGATTAAAACACAATTGGTTATACTTTGGGGTTTAATGGCCGTGAGCTAGGATTTCTGAGAGTTGTTTTTTATGTTTGCTTGTATATTCTCAAGCATGTGGTTGATAATATTGTGGTATGACCTTTTTAGGTTGACTTTATTTGATTTAATCGTGGAGGATTAAGCTTTGGAAGCTTCTCTCTGTTGGTTTGTGAACTTGGTTGTGAAACTTTTTACAGGTAAACTTATGTGTGTCCCGAGGATAGTCTATTTGTGTGCTCCACCATATCCTCTGGGAATGGTTGGAATTTGTGACCTGAGATAATATTTAATAAAGTATGTTCATGCATATAATATATTGTGTGAAATATGCATGTCGTTTGTGAAGCTTGATTGCTTGCGGGGCCTGATTGCCCGTGCGGCCTGATTGCTGTGAGGCCTGGTTGCCTGTTCTCTGATCAGTAGAAATTGGGGGGACTTCTGCCGGATATGACTCTCTGCGGGGGTTTTAGATAACGTTGACCTTAGAGTTGTAAACACTTTAGGAATGTCTCGAAAGTTATATGATGGGATTCTTGAACAATATCCCTGATGGATGTTCTTGGATTTGTGCCCAATTGGTTGTTAATTGTTTGATTGATTGTTTGATGGTATGATGTACTATATGGATATTATTACTGTTTGCACATTTGAGTGAGCCATTTGGTGAAGTAACCCTCTAGGACCTATGTTTTGCCGAGATTGTCAAATGTCTCCCAACATTATGGGACCCTATTTTCAGGTACCACTAGTGCTACTGGAGGAGGAGTTGGCAAGAAGCCTGCTTAGTGTAAATATTTTGACATGTACATAGGAGTGCAAGAGGATTACTTGGCATTTTGAGATATTATTTTGATGCACGTGGTAGTTGCTTATTTTGTATCATTTACTTAGTGCATGGACATTCGTCTTGTATGTAATGTTGTGGCATGCTTAGGGTTGTTCATGCTTTTGTGTCTAAGTCATTTGATATTATATTGATTATGTAATAGTTAAATTTGATAGTTGATGTAAATGTAATTGTATCATTGGAGAACCTGGTACATGTAAATATTGATAGTGGTCCAAATAAGACGTACCATACCTTATTTTAAAGCCTAGGATGTCCCATACATTGTCATATAATTTGGTATAATTTGAAGTTGCAGAAACTACCCAATCGTTTTTTGAATTTGGACTGTCTTGTTCCACGCCCAATTTGGTATCATCCTCATCCGATGTTCTCCCCAAAGCACCTCACTCTCCATTAGTTTAATTAGCAAACTAACCATCATTTAATTTTTTAAAAAACATATATTAATAGAAAAAATGTTCATAATTTCAATAAAAAATAAATTAATAGGGAATTTAAAATTTAAAAAAGTTATGAAAGGCACCTTTCATGTTTTTGGAGGAAGAAGAATAAAATAATATATTAAATTAATCTTAATTAATAGAAATAATCAAATTTAATAAATTAAGTTGGATTATAATATTATTTAATAATAAGAATAAGAATACATTTTTTTTTTAGTATTATAAACTCTGTACATGGTTTTGGGCCTATTAGTTGAAAATCTCAAAGCGAAAACATTTTTTGGCATCCAAAGCCCACTTATTTAGGGTATAACATTACAGAAAAGCGCGCCGCTGCAACACCTCTATATAAACGTAGCGGGCATAATCAAAACCCTAACAAGTAAGCTTAGAAGTGCGCAGCTACAGAGCTAGCTATTAGGTATATCCTTCTGTTTTCTTTTTGCTTCTGATCCCGTCGTTACCGACGATGGATCTGTTAATGCTTCATTCTTAACAATTTGAATGTTCTTCGTAGTTGCATTTTTTTTTATGCTTGATTGTTAATGCTCATTTCAAGATTGGTTTTCAATATTTTGATTGTTCTTTTAGTTGAAGCAGCGAAAAGATGTCTCATCGTAAGTTCGAACACCCGAGACACGGTTCCCTTGGCTTTCTCCCAAGGAAGCGAGCTTCTCGTCATCGTGGAAAAGGTGATTTTGATGTTATTTTTATTTTTTTCATTTGATGTATCGTTTACTAGTATTCTGTTAGATTTAATCAATGTGTTATAAGGTTTTTAGAAAATGTGTCTAAATTATTTGTTTTAAACAGTTTTGTGAGTTTTCTATGCGTTAGTTGGTGGTGCATGATCATGTTGTTGCCAATTTCGTTGTGATGACTGAAATTGTTTCCAGAAAAACTGATTAATCGAGGCTGGAATCTCAGAAACGGCTCTTCTAGCCAAAACCCAATGAAAGGGTTTTTGGTAAAGAACACAAAATGAGCTAGAGAATTGGCATTTATTTTGTCATAGGCCTTTGGTTTGGAAGCGTTTCTTCATCACTATCTGGAACTGGTGATAATGACATATGTACTGCAATGTGTTGGTTTAAACTTTTTTTTTTTTGCTGTCAGATGGCTGGTTGTCTTTCGTGGGCCTAATATTTTCTGTTTTCAAATTTATTCGATTATCCAGCAAATTTATTCGATTAATCAGCAAATCCTATGTTAATGTATATTCGTCTATGTTATGTATTTTCTATAAAAATTTATGCTTTGGCTAATAATTTTGTAATGATTGCGTTGCCTCTTTATATATAGCAGTCCAATATCAAACTTAATACTTCGAGGTACTTGTGAATCTACCTTCTGTTAGTGTAGAATAGAATTTGATAGGTGAACATGTTTAGCAGGACAGAGGAAAAGTAATTGTGTATGGTTATATTTCTCTGTTGAACATTAAATTACCCAGCTTTATTTTTCTGCAGATCTTATTAATGTCATATAATCTTCTTAGACAATGTTGTTGTCATTAGTGTGATAGTTTTTAGGAGTTAAAATCAATTCAGTTATGATTGTATTCTTTTTGGAAAAGGACTTTGTGATTCATTTTTGTATTTCGGGTTTGTATTATCTTGAGGACAACAAATACTGTCTATTTTATGTTCATTACTGATTAATTAGATACTTTCTAGCAACCCCGCATTAATCTTGACAAGAAGTTGATAGTTTTATTTCTTTAATAACTTGTGGGATTTGCACAATTATTTGCATTATGACACATCGAAAGTTGGTATATCAACTCTTTAAAGAGTGCCGTTATTTTATACATTTGGTCCAAGGTAAGCATTTGTGTGGATTTCAACTTTCAAATTGATGATGAAAGTTGTGTGCGTTATGACACCTCACTCTGCCCCCTCTACTCTTGAAGTATATTGTACTAAATGGAAAATTAGCTACATATGCACTTTTTAATTGGTAACCCTTCCTTAACTATGCTTTATTCAGCAATTTGACAGGCAAGCCTCTCCCAGTATCTTGTCTCTTTTTGCTATGGGTTATAATGCTATTTATCTGTTTTATTCATTACCTTCATTTGTGCCAGTATCTGTATACACACTCACGCACACAAGTACAAGTTTGGTGACTAATTTTGAAATACCACTTGTTCATTCATGAACTGATACATTTGCTATAAGAAAAAACATGTATTCTTCTGGCACAAATGCCTCTTGTTTTGTTTTTGTGTGAATGTATTACATATGTGACATGTTGATTCATGTAATATCGAACCTAGTGGGTTAAGGCTCGGTTATTGTTATTGTTGCAGTGTTCTTATTCCCTTATTATATCTTCTAATTTGCTATTGCAGTGAAGGCTTTTCCAAAAGATGATTCTAGTAAACCCTGCAGCTTGACTGCCTTTGTGGGCTACAAAGCTGGGATGACCCACATTGTTAGAGAGGTTGAGAAACCTGGTTCAAGTAAGCATATTTTTTGGTTTATGCCCTGAAGGTGGGATGGGAAAGGGTTTTGCATCGAGTTGTATTATGATAACATTGAAAAACCAGGATTGATACTTGCTGTTATTTTACTTTGTTTGGTTATTTCACTTTCATGCTTGTCAATGTCAAATTTCCAATTTCTGACATTACTTTTGCTTGTAGTGAACAATTAAATTTTGTTTAAGATATTGTAGTTGTATTATTTTTTTGAATTATAAACAAAATGAAAGAGACTGATTTGTTATTCCTTTTTCTTAATTATTTTTAAATGTTATTTAAATTTTTGATCATCTAATCTTTCATATTTAATAATGACTAATTCATGTGTCCATATGTATAATCATTTTTGGGGGTGTCAATTTTTTTTACACTCTGCTTTATATGTCTCTGTTCACTTTGTACCTGATGACATACTATACTTTTACAGAGCTTCATAAGAAAGAGACATGTGAGGCTGTTACTATCATTGAAACTCCTCCACTGGTTGTTGTTGGAGTTGTGGGATATATAAAGACACCTCGCGGCCTTCGCACTCTGAACACTGTTTGGGCTCAGCATCTAAGTGAGGAAGTTAGGAGACGATTCTACAAGAACTGGTGCAAATCTAAAAAGAAAGCCTTTACCAAGCATTCAAAAAAATATGAAACTGTGGAAGGAAAGAAAGATATTGAAACTCAACTTGAGAAATTGAAAAAGTACGCTACTGTCATTCGTGTTCTGGCTCATACTCAGGTAATGATTTTTTCTTATGAGTTCGTTATACTCTATTTGTGACTTCAAAATAATTTTTATTCTTTAATAGGTTTATGAGGCATATTAAGGCACATGCCTTTTTGCCACTTCCAACCTTGACTCAGTAATTTATACATCTCATTGGAGCATATAATTTTTTAATCTTATGGCATTCTAATATGGTGAATCTAGCTTTTATTCAATTTTATTATGCTTATATAATGTGTTTGACCTGCCAAGTTCTTTACTTTTTAAATGTTAAAGGATATTATTTTTCTGGTCTTATAAGGCACTGCATTAAATGTTTAATGCTGTAATCTTACAAGCTACTGCTTTTGTACCACCATGCCCTCAATAATTACACATCTCACTGTAGTAGTAATTTTTTTTAATCTTATGGCATGTGAATATAACATATATTCTATTTTATTATGCTTGTAAAATGGGTTTGTGATGTCAAGTTCTTTTAATGTTAAACGTTAAAAGATTTTTTTTATTTTTTTTTTGGAGTTAGAAGCTACTGCCTTCAACATTGTAATTTCATGGTTTTGCTTTGTTTACTGAAGATAAGGAAGTTGAAGGGTCTAAAACAGAAGAAGGCACATTTGATGGAGGTCCAAGTTAATGGTGGGACAATAGCACAGAAGGTGGACTATGCATACAGCTTCTTTGAGAAGCAAATACCTGTGGATGCTGTTTTCCAAAAGGATGAGATGATAGACATCATTGGTGTGACCAAGGGTAAAGGTTATGAAGGCGTTGTAACTCGCTGGGGTGTTACTCGCCTCCCACGCAAGACACACAGAGGTCTAAGGAAGGTTGCTTGTATTGGTGCTTGGCACCCTGCTCGTGTTTCATTCACAGTTGCCAGGGCTGGTCAGAATGGATATCATCACCGTACTGAGTTGAATAAAAAGATCTACAAGGTTGGCAAGTCCGGTCAAGAGTCACATGCAGCCGTCACTGAATTTGACAGGTATGGTAGCCTTTTTTTTTTTTTTGGAGACTGGTGTAGAGTTGAGTTGCGTTGCTTAATTGTATATAGTCCAACTGTTATCTTTGACTCAGCTTATTGCTTGGCTGTTCCTTAATTATGTTTTGTACCAAATTAGCATATTTAGATAAAGTATAGCAACAATTATGTTGCAATTCTTCGTAGCAGATTCTGCCGTATTTCATCCTTCTATTTTCCCGATTATCACATTTTCCTATAATTTTTGTCAACGACAGGACTGAGAAGGATGTTACTCCTATGGGTGGATTCCCTCATTATGGTGTGGTGAAGGATGATTACATTATGGTCAAGGGATGCTGTGTTGGACCAAAGAAGCGGGTTGTCACTCTTCGTCAGTCACTACTCAAGCAGACATCCCGAGTTGCTCTTGAAGAGATCAAACTGAAGTTCATTGACACCTCATCCAAGTTTGGACATGGCCGCTTCCAGACCACTCAGGAGAAGCAGAAGTTTTATGGTCGATTGAAGGCTTAAATTTTTGGTTTTGCTATGGGAATTTCATTTATCCGTTCTCTTGAAGAACATTTTCTATCAAAATTTCAGCAGCAAAATAAGACATTTAGTGGCCTTTTTTTGGTGTTAGACGATGGTGATATTTTTCACTGAGAAAGTATTATGCTTCTACTAGTTGCTTGGAATACTTTTGCTGCGTTATTCTGGTCAGCTGATCTCTTTTGGATGATTTTTGATATTTGCTTTCTTTTATTTATATTGTCATATGGTGGTGGTCCTTAGTTAACTTCTGGAAGGGAGGGGAGTGGTGAATGATAATATACCAAAAAGTTGTGTTTTGTTTTTCTATTCTTAAAAATTGAAATCCAAATCTGTGTTGTGAATGATTAAACTGAAAATATAATAGAATGCAATCATAAGATTTGGCGGAAAAGTACAGTCTCATTCCAATTGCTTTAAAAATAAAAAATAAAAAGAGAAAAGAAGCACAAATACCGGCGGATCCTCCTAAAAAAGGAACAAGTAAGTTCAAAGTAAGAGAAGAAAAGGGATAAAAGAAACACAGTTCAAAAGAGCTATTCATATAGGACAACAAAACTGGGAAAAAAAAAAAAACTTAGCCAGAAAACACCAAGGAGGCTAACAAAACGAGTACGTCACTAAAAAAAAATGAGAAGAGAAAAAACTGTTAAAATTTTTGGCACTTCACTAACAAAAAAAGCCTCAGCATTATTTAGAACTTCAATTAAAATCATAAACGAAAGTGTCATAGAAAAGAAATAGATCCGGGACAAAAGAAAAACCGTATGGGACCATCATCATAAAATGGGGGAAATGGATAATGAAAACAAAATACCAGCCTGTTGCCGAGATCCTATCTAAAGGATAATAATATCTGGACGGTGATTGGCTTCAATAAAAAAAGTTGAATCTGATGATTTTTTGCTGACTTCTTCAATTGGACCCTTTGGTGTAAGTAGGGAAGGTATCGAGTAGCTTTCTGGAATTGCACCCTTTGTAGAGTGTGGTGTCTCTCGAATAATCACTACGTTTATCTTTCTGTTATCCCCCCTTGTTTTCTGTTTCATTCAGTCTATTATACTGTGTCCCTGTTATTGTGAGCTGTAATTTTCCATATCTGAATACAATTTCCGGGTTTTTCCTCTAAATCCACCGTGTTCTGTGTTTTAATTGAATTTGAGAGTTAGTAGAATGTATCGGTGCAAAACTTTATGGACCACTACAATTCCCCAAGCCGGGTGGAATATACCTTCAGTAAGTGCATTTTGAGAACGAGTCAATTGATATAACTTTAGCAATTTCCAGATTCCAATTGAATGGTACCTCCAAGATCCATGACCACTGAGATCTAAATTTGAGATTGTTTTGACTCTCACGAAGAACTCCCTACAATTGATTCGTATACAAAATCAGATACCTTAATTTACTACAGTTTCCAATGGATGTGGGAATATTCCCTGAAAACTTATTACTATTAATATCCAGTGTGAAAAGCTCAATGATATTCCCAATACTTGTGGGAATGCAACCACTTTAACTGTTGTTGCTGAGATACACTTCTTCGAGGTGAGGAACTTGAAGCAAAGATTCAGGAATTTCACCAGTCGTTAGATTAGAAGACAAGTACATAAGCTTCAAATTTTGCAGGTGATTCAAATGTCCAATTTCAGGTCCTAATTACTAAAACTCAAATAATAACCGAGGTTGAGAGACACTACATTGTGGCACAATGCACTCCTGCCCATGAGCATGGAGTCATAAAAAAATATGTTTATGCTCAATGAGTCCAATATGTATATCGAAAAAAAAGGAATATTCAGTACCAAAATATATATCAAGAAAGGAACTTCATGCCATGGTTTCTCACGTGAGAAGTTTTAGAAATTACTACCTACTGAAAATTACAAGCAGAGAAAATAGAATCTGCTTATCGCTTTCATGACAATCTGATACTCTTAATTATAATCCAAAAAGTTGGATGCAATTTGCACTTACTAACTAGCAACCTTAGAAGTTGGCCTAGAGGAATGAAGGAATCCGGCTATTTCTAGGTGCCAACTTAGAATTTCGACAAAAAGAAAAAGTAGACTCTGATTTTTCTCAAGGGGAGGAGGGTTTCAACACATACAAAATAAGACCTTGCCACCGTAAGTCAATTCAAATGCAATAACTAAAAATTAAAATTAGTCAAATTAAAACTTTGTCTTCGCAGAACAGCTTTATCTTAGTCTTGCTTTAACTCAAAGCTAGTCATCTGTTTAACAAGTTGATGCATTGATGCCAACGGGTAAAAGACTGATAGGATAGCACCTCAGAATGCCAATGAGATATGCTCATTTTGACTTGATGTTTGGATTGACAACAAAAAGAAAACTAAGAAACAAGATAAAAAAACATCAGCCTGATAATAAACATAACTTCATGACCAGAGAATTAATTGGATACTAATGATTCAGGTAGTACTAACTAATCTGTCAAACAGATCAATCAAAACCAGACACTTCAAGAATGGCAAGAAGAGTAGCAGAATATATCCAAATTACAGACACTCGCTCTAATTAATACATAATGCTTTTCAATGAAAAACTTTTCACTACAAAGAAGAAGCATAAACTAAAGGAAACCAACCATATAAAAAGAAGCAATCCCCTTGCTTTATAATCAAGGCGGCACTGTAAAGCATAAAATCCTTCATCGTTTTAGACAATGAACATCAAAAGCAGATTGATTTTTCCTGTGTTACCTCATTGTCTGAGGGTTTTCCTTTGTGTACTAAAGAATATTTGGTAATCTGAAATGTGAAAACATTCGCATGAACTACTGAGTTGAGGTAGAACCAACATTACCCAAACCCATCTTCTGCCCCAAAAATGTAAGCTGCTCTACAAAGTCCACTCCAGTTAGAATTTCTGTTGTTCCATATATAACATGCTTGGCAGGCTGCTGATTTTGTGCAAGCTCTTGCAGACTGCAATATTCAACGTAATTACCACCACCAATCATGAATACAATTGCTTCCTTAAATGGTCCTTTCAAATGGCTGCCACTTGCTCCTGAACCAGACTTAGGGGCACGAGGATCAAATGCATGGTATAAATCTGTTTCAGGATTTGGCCTCCCTTCCATCAAGGCTTCAACCGTCCTTGCCAACGCTAGCTGCCTGTCATTAGATAAAAGATTTTTGACACCAGCTGCGACTACACTAATTGACTGTCCATAGAGCTTCTCAGCCCAGTCAACAATATTACTTCTGCTGGCAGAATTTGCTGATGCCAACGAAACATTCAATGACTTGATCTTTTTCACATACTGAAAAGCAGCAGTGTCAACCTCGGACTCTCTCAACGCCGCTTCCACAGCTTCCACTTCTGACTGATTAATGGTTTCAGAAGAAATAAGATAAATTATGGCAAAGCGAAGCTTATCCGTCTTTGTTCCCTTCCCTCTGAGCACACCAAGAAGCTCACTCCGTTCAATGCCCCCTCTAGTCATCATGTCATTCTCCTTTTTAGCATAAGAATCAAGCGATCTCTCCTTAATCTCACCCAATAACACAGTAGCAATATTTGTGTGCTTATCAATCACCTGCTTTCTCTCAGTCAGCTCAGGCAGAGAGTTCACAGCATTCATCAAATGCTTCGTGTTACCAATCAAATCCGTCCCATCAAACTCCGCTCCATGAGTTCCACCAGTCCTCTTATTCACCTCATCCACATCCTTCTTATACTTATTCAGCTGTGTCTCAATCTCCACAGCAACCTCAGGAAAGTCCAACGATCCATTCGCAACCCAAAACGAGTCCGAACTATCCAACTCATACGACCTCATCCCACCTTTCTCCCCTTGCACACTCAACCTATTCAGCTTCAGCCCAAGCACATCATGAACAAGCGGCCGGTACCTAAAATCATGCTGAATCGCAACCGGCAACTCGAAATTCCTGTCAAAGATACACAAAACCGGGCGCTGGAACGAGCTAACAAAATTCCCACCCTCAGTAAACAAATTGTTCTTGGACAACAAATGATCGCGGAGCCTCTGATCCAACGCGGAGGCCACCATCTCAGCAGGGCCACCGCGGGGGCACCTAATAACAGGCACAACAGAAAGAGTGGCCAACACACAAAACAACCCAGCAACAATCTTCTCAACAAGTTCCTCAATTTCACGGTCCCCAGCAGAAGGATCATTGAGCTGAAGATAACAAGACTTGTGGGCCAATGAAAAGAGGTTATCTTCGAGGGTGACAAACTCCAGGTACTGATCATGGACCTTAGAAATCCGGCTAATTGAATCGGAATTTAGGGTTCCGGAAGCGAGATCTTCAAGAAGGGGACGAGGGATTGAGGTTGAGAAATTGAGGTGGAAAGTGTGATAGAAAGAGCGAGAGGCATCGGCGATGATTCTCTGAACGTTGGATTGGTTTGGTTGAACGAAATAAACGGCGGGGACATCGTCAACGGGTTTTCGATCCTTGTCGATGAGGAAGTAAAGTGTGACACCGTGTTTGCGAAGGTCCTTGACATGGATCAATGGGGAGAGTATGCTCTGGCAGAACTTGTCGTAGATTAGTATCTTGTAAACCTCTTCGTTAGCGGTTCCTGTTGCGTTTATGGGTTGGTTCAGGTTCAGCATTCGCGCTATGCATTCTGAAAAACAACAACAACAACAAGAAGAAGAAAACTTTTTGTATCGTTAAATGAAATTACAAACACAGAATCAGATATCGGAGTTGAATGTTTTTTTGGGGGAGGGAGGTATTCGAAGCTTACCCGTTTGCTTCTGACGAAGATTCAGAGACATGGCTGTTACAGATTCGAATGTTGTGAAATTGGGATTTTGCTAACTCTGCAGAATGAGTTTGCTTGAGAGTTGGATCAAATTGAATAGAGATAGGGTTTCAGATCTCATTACATTGGGTCATCGTCATGCTTCTTTCTGTGTAGTAATATCTTTTTTATTTTACTCAACTGATTTCTTAATACTATTTTTTTTTTCAATTTTTTTGTGTGATGTTTTTATTCTAAAATTTCTCGAAAATCAAGATTTTATTTTATTATTTATGTAAAATTTTGTCAAGAAAATATATTAAGATAAGTGTTTTTCTAAAACCTTTATTGAGAAAAATATATATTTAATAATGCTTGCTCTTCACTGTTATTCCAAAGTTGATTTAATATGTAAAAAAAAAAACACAAAAACTTGGTAAGATAAATAATACCATGGGAAAGACACAAGGAGTAAAAGTTATACAGCTTATATAATTAGTTAGGATCCAAACATTTTTCTTGTAAGATGTATCTTTAATTCTTGATGTCAAAATTATACTAATTAATCTTCTGACTTTTACAATCTTATTAAATTCTTAAATAGATATCTATAATTTAAAAGCTTTTAATAGAATTATTAAACTTTTATAATTTTTTAAAATAAATATTTATTTACTGATAAATTTTAATATTCTATTATTTTTTATTAAACTATAAGGTATATTCAAAAGCTTGAATAAATTATAAATTATAAGGACTGTTAGTGACTAAGGACTTATTAAAAATATTATAGAAGTGTAAGGACCCTATAAAAAAAATTCAATACTATATATACTTATATAAAATTTTAATAAAATTAGAAAAATTTGTAACAATTGTAATTGAAAAACATGTGAAAGGCCTACCAAAAGAAGAAGAAGAAGAAAAACATGTGAAAGAAGAGAAGTATAAACAATAAAAAAAAATAAAAAAATAAAAAAAAAATATATAAGTAAAATATCACAAGATAATTGTCATGAAATTATTTTTATATTGTATAATAAATTGATAGGTAGATTGATTGAAAGGTCTTCCATAAGTCACCCAGCGTCAAAAACAAACAAGTGGGCTTATTTATTTTATAATATATGGACAAAAAAAAATTATATGATTTGAAAAAAAAGTAGATAATATGATATTTTTTGTCCATGTCACAAAATGAATGAGCAAATACACTAAATCTTTTTTCACCAAAAAAAAAATGCACTAAATCTTTAATGTACTAAAAATTTATTCCGTTAATTGCCGTGGACAATTTTATGAAACGATTAAGAGACATGTAAAAAAAGAGACATGTAGAGAGAAAAATATTGTACCAATGTTACATTATCATTAATATATTTTATATTAATATAAGTTATATTTTTAATTTTGATTGTTAATTTACAAAGGGAATAAACAATTAAAATTGTATTTAAGATTTATTATTTTTATATTGATATAAGATGATACTATCAGTTGAAAATAAACTTCCCAACTTTTCTCTTTGTTGAAAAAACTGAAAAACGTAATCGTCTTTAGTTATAGTCAAAGTGTTTTATAAGAGTTATATTGTAGGAAAAATAATTATGTAATGTTATAGAGATTCGTTTTGCATGCCGTAATTATTTTTTTTTGCTTCAAAAAGTGTGGGTCCTACGAAATGTTGTGTGTGTAAGAAACTTTCTTGTGTCATGTTAAATGATAAAATGCATAGAAAAACTAAAAAATCCTATGACCGTTGGAAGCAGTAGCATGGCTGCAATGATGCATCACCATAATGTCTCTGAAAGCGCATCTTCTATTGCTCTAGGAACAACAACAGGCCTCAGTATGGCTGAGACATTGGCTCAGGGTATGCCTCGCTCTCACACACCTCCACAAGTGAGCTTGACTTTGAATTCTATTGTGAGTTGTGTATTTGTTAAAATCTTTGCAATGCTCATATAGTATGTCTTGCCATACAATTATCTGTAAGTACTCAAAGGCTTGAAGAGTTGGCCTTAAGCAATCTAAGTTATTAATCCCCATGAAGCAATCCACGCCAAGATCCCGGGTAATGGTGTTTCTTTCAGTATTTTTTTTTTTTTTTTTTTGGTAACAAGTATTTATTTTTTAAAAGTAATGTAATTACGAAATAAATTGACATTCTCGGATTCGAATTCGAGAAATAATATTTTTTTCAAATATATAAGAGTAAGGTTGTATATAAGGATTGTTTTTACCCTACGACACTAGTCAGGATTTAACGAGGAATGGGTTTTACACCTTACAGGTTTTATGTGCAATAGAAAATTTCATGGTATCGTTATGTGCTACATAATCGTTGAAGTTCTCCTGTGAGAATCTGCTTAACTAGGAACATGCCATATGTAGAATATATTTTCTTCCAATTTTCTTGATGAATTATTTGAAAGTGTTGAAAACATAAATATCCCTTTTGGGTGGTTACTTCTGAATGATTTTAGTTCTGATTGATTTAACTCCATTTATTGCCATTTGCTATATGTCACTCTCTTACTTTGTTCTCTAAGAGAAAATATATGACATAAGGCATAACGGTTATTCGCGGTTATCGTTGTCATAGATGTTGCTCAATTTGTGGGGAGTTAATAGTTATAGTCTACATTAATAAAATTCTCAAATCATTTCTTTACACTTCATTCCTTTCTTTTAGAGGATGCGAGTGCATCGGACAATGACGAAGAATGTGGCAGGTCTGGTACTGAACTTCAACCATTGCATGATTTGGGGGAGTCTCGTATCGTTGTACATCATGGCACAACATCGAGTCAAGTACCAGAACATCCTGAAGGTATACTATCAATTAATATACTGACAGTTTGGTTGTTGCAATTTTTAATTAAGAAAATAATTCAATTCTATTATTATTATTACGTAGTACATGTAGGCGATGCACCTGTTGATCCTTTTTGGTCAGAAATTTTACATTACACATATATTGATTGGGATTATCCGAGTGAGGCACAATCATGGACGCAGAGTTCGGGTTCAATCCAGGGTCCTTGGCAATTGGGAGAAAAGTTGTTTTTTAACCAACAATTTACATCCAAAAAAGAGGCTCAGATGGAAATCAAGCGCTACCTCATGAAGGAGCATCAAGAAGCAATTGTGGTTGAGAGCACTCCCACAAAATTAAGCATGAAATGTTGTGCACACGTCCAAGGTTGCCCGTGGAGGGTCAGGGTAATTAAACCAACGTATGGTGAAAATTGGAAGGTAACGAAATGGGGTGGGAAGCACAATTGCTTGAATGACCATATTTCTCAAGATCATCGACAACTTGATTCTGACGTTATTGCAGCACTTGTAGTAGGTACGTAATTTCAAATTAAAAAGCTGATTAAAATTGCAGTTGATATACCTGTTGTTCTGTTAATGTTTATATCCAGCTTTTGTGATTCAGAGATGATAAAAAAGGAACCTTCAGTGGCCATTTCGCTCGTTCAGGAGAGGATAACGCATTCATATGGATTCAAAGTTTCATATCGAAAGGCATGGTATGCGAAGCAGAAAGCAATGGCAATGTTATATGGTGATTGGGAGGAGTCCTATGCATTTTTACCCAACTGGTGTGAATATATGCTTTGTTTTTCACCAGGTTCCTTTTACAATATTCAAACAAATGATTGTTTTGTTGGGGGGCAGTTGGTTACCGGAAAACGTGTATTTGTTAGTTGTTTCTGGACTTTCAGACAATGTTGCGAGGCATTTAAATTTTGCAAACCAATGATACAAATTGATGGCACTCATCTATACGAGAAATATAAGGGAAAGTTATTGATTGCCACAGCTCAAGATGGTAATAATGAATGTGTGCCACTTGCATTTGCCGTTGTTGAGAGTGAGACATTGGAGGCTTGGTCATACTTCCTTGCCAATCTTCGTCAGCACGTCACTCAAGCGGATAATATATGTCTAATTTCAGACCAGCATGTTAGCATATTATCGGCTGTTGAAAATAATCCCCTATGGCAGCCACCCCATGCATTTCATGTGTTTTGTCTGCGACATGTTGCAAGCAATTTTAATCAACGATTTAGAAATGACAAATTGAAGGCTAGCCTGATGAATATAGGTATGTTGCACACTATGATTGGTGAATTAAATAATTGTAGTTTTTCGTTAAGCGTCAACTGTGTGTTTTTTAAATTGTTCGCAGGATATACTCATTGCATGGTGGATTTTGAGAGGTCTCTAGCATGATTTCGAGACACAAGCAGGCAGGTAGCGGAATGGATTGATGCCATCCCTAAGGAAAAGTGGTCGCGTGCACATGACCTTGATGGACGAAGATTTGGGCATATGACAACAAACTGGCAGAATCCATAAACAGAGTGTTAAAGGGAGCAAGAAACATGCCCATTACTGGTCTGGTAAAATTTACATACAGTAGATTGGTTCAATATTGCGTGCAAAGAGGTCAATCGGCTTGTAGGCAACTTGAATCTGGTCATAGTTATTGCAAAAATGTGATTGAATCTTTGACACATAATGAATCCGTGGCAGCAATGCATACTGTGCGTACATATAATGTTGATGAAACCGTTTTTGAGGTGGATGCAGGGTTTGAAAGGACATATGTTGTTAACCTTACTGCTCGTACATGCCAATGTGGACAATTTAAAGCATTTAAATATCCTTGTAGTCACGCCGTTGCTGCAGCGTTATCCATTCGTCGAAATTATCGACAATATATAGATGATGTATTCAAGATGTCAAACTTGGTAAAGGCATACTCATTTCCATGGCAACCAATCGGCAATGAGCAAGCAATTCCACCCAACAATGCAGGTCCTGTGGTAATACCAGATAACAATATGTTGCGGGCAAAGGGTCGTCCAAAGTCTACAAGAATACGGAACGAGATGGATGAGGTTGAAACTATTACATCACGTAGGTTATGTGGTCTTTGTAAGCAACACGGGCACAATCGTAGTTTGTGTCCCACCAGATGCGCATGCCATGGGGCTAGCCTGATAAACCTGCTCACTCTGTGTAAACCCCTGGCCATACGATGGACCTGGCTGGCTATCATAATACTGCGGCGGAGGAGGACCATGGTACATAGGCTCTGGCCCGCCTGCTTGGCTCAGCACTGGTGGTCTAAACCAACCCTGCATATCAGTGCGCGGTCTAGGAGCAATAATAGGATCGGGTATAGCTCGAACCGATTCTCGCTGTCGTCCTAGTCCACGCCCCTCCTGCCTGCCACTAGGCACCTCAATGGTCAACATCGGCTCCTCAACAGTCTGCATAGGTGGAGCCTCTGGCCCTGGCTCCTCTACTCGTGCCGACTCTCTGAATATGGCAATAATGCGACCAATCTCGTCATGGACCCACTCTAAGCCAAAGGCGGGGAACTGATCCGCAGTAGTCGCAAAATATAGCATCTCCAACCCATCAATCTATAAAGAAATGAAACAACATGATATAATTAAAAATTTATAAACACATAATCATATTCATAATTGAAGTGTCAAAACTTACTGCTCGTCCAACCCTGGCAGCTTTCCTGGCGACAAACTGTTTCCCTCGCTGTCTGTACCAGTGTAGGTACTCATGGTTCGGGGACATCAACCCGACCAGTGCAGGGGGAATACGTATTGACGTATCCCTGATCGTCCATCGATGTATGAAGGGCCTCAACTTACGCTCCCAATTATCATCCTTCTTCCCTCACAGAGTTAGATCATGAACACCCTTAAGCTTTCTTGGTCTCCGCGGTATGGGATGATCAAAACCAAATTGTCGCATACATCGATCCGGTTGAGCGTACTCAACTGTGTGGAAGCAAATGATAGGAGTAATGGCCAACCATAAGTACCGCTCATGATCAGATACAAACAATGCTGTATGGTACTCTCCGTATGGCTGCCACACAACCTACATATAAAAAAATTAGTAATTCAGAAAACACAATTACCACCAACTATAATATGTAAATAAATAAAAAACAATTAATAATAGATATCACAAACCTCGTCTCTATAAAGCGTGTCAAGGTTTGCCCGATACCAAGACTGCTCATGTGGCTTAAAGGGAGGTAGGGAATTAAACCTGTAATGGAATGTGTAAACCATTATCATACTCATTCAACAAATGAACATGTAATAAATTAGTCAATATGAGTTAATAAAATATACCTGTGACCAAAATGCCACTCCGGGTGGGTAGGCTGCGGGATAGGTGGTGCAATGGGGGGGAATCTAATCCAAGCCCATATCTGCAGTAATACGTGACAACCACCCAGATTTACAGTCTGCGGGTTTGTTGCCACACATAAATGTCTGAAGAGATGAGCGAGAACCGCAGACCCCCAACTGTATCTGCCAATGTCGGTAAAGTCCCCTGCAAGCAGTGGAACGTAACGACAAGCAATTTTGCTGCCACCTGATCTGTCACACACTAACCATGAGCCTAATAGCCGCAAAATGTGTGCCTTGGTGTAACGCCTCACCTCCTCTGGATTGTGTGCTACTGTAAACCAATCAGCATATATCTTGTCTAAGTAAGATATACGTAGATCGCCTCCGTGAATGTCTGTGCCCGTAACTGGGGCAGTCCCAAAAACCTGCTGACACATATCCACCCAATCCAACGCTGTAGATCCGGTAACTGCCTGCCCGTCAGTAGGCAAACCAAGTATACCAGCCACGTCCTGTAATGTAACGGTCATCTCTCCCTGCGTCATATGAAATGTATGTGTCTCCGGTCTCCAACGCTCAACCAAAGCAGATATCAAGGGGGTATCGATCTGAAGGAAAAACAACAATTATACAAAGTCCACATACGGTAATTTAATTAAGCTATTTAAACATTACATACCTGAACATGACTCATACGTGCCACGTGTATGAACCCAGCCTGTGTCAAATAGTCAGCGACAACGTCTGGTATATCATCGTGATGGGGTCCCCCCTAAAGTTTCCCTCGCCTCGTCTTTAACCCCCTAACCGTATCCTCGTTCCACACAACTTGTGAAACGTGACTGCGATGTGTCCTCTTACGGAGTACCTCCCACCTATATGGACCAGGAAGTACATGCGTACAAGGATCGGATGGCTCAAGATCACCATCGGATCCAGAGCGCGAGGACTCTGATGAAGACGAATGGGCCATAATAGAATACTACTACAGATGAAAAAGATGTACCCAAATTACTATTGATATTATATTAATTTACACTAAATAAAATTTAATTGCACTTAATTAAATAGCATTTAACTAATAACTTCAATTGTTATATTAATTTCAATTAAATTAACATCATTGACAATTAATTCATTTAACATTACATTATTCTATCAATATATTTCAATACAAATATTAATTCAAATTCAATTTAAATTAATATTGCATACGTTATTCATTCGTCTTTAACCCTAATTATAATGTGGTTAATTGAAAGGTCAATATGTTTGCAAGTGTCATTCATAAAAAAATATTCATTGTCACAAACTAATTTCTAAGTGTGTAAATAAGTCATAAAACCAACATATACCAATTTAGAAGTAACTAATTAATTTGTAAGTCCATATAATATATAAGTCACATCACAATCTTACATAGGTCACTAATATTTTTCTAACCCCCCTGACAATTAAATAAAGTCACAAATATTTTTCTAACCCCCTAACAATTATCTAAGTCGCTAATAACTATCATATATTAATTGCTGTTAATAAAAAAAACAATAAATAGGGACTTACATGAGAGAGAGACAGAGCTTCGCTGCGCAAAACCCTCCAAAAGAAATTTAGAGAGAAGGAGGAGGAGGAGGTTTAGAGAGAGGATGGGAGGGTGGAAATGAGGTAAAAAAGTAAAAAACGGATTTATATACACCGCAGATAACACGCCCTATCGTGGGCGTGTCTCTCTCCTAGAACACGCCCTACTTTAGCCGTGTCTCTCTCCTACCGCACACGCCCTTACTTAGGCGTGTTTCCTTCACAAGCTCACGCCCCACATGGGCGTGTCTATCTCCATCAGAACACGCCCCATGTGGGCGTGTTTGGGTGCTATAGATTTGTAATTTTTTACAAAACGACAACTTATCCGTAATTTTTTATTAAAAAAGTAATAAATTAATTTTTTTGCCAAGATAGATATACACATATTGATGCTAATATTTGGTGTGTATACTTGAGAACCTACTACTCCCCTACAACTAGGATGTTTATGCTCATGCTTCTGATGCCAGACTGTTGATCTAGGTACGTAAGATATTTGGGCATGTTGAATTTGTCACTAGACTCATGCTTTAGTATACTGGAATTACATTATATTGAAACATGAAAATTGTAGTGTAAAAATCTGAAATCTCCCGATTTTTATTAGAGGAATATAAGATGATTGACCATTGTGTTCAAATATTTAAAAAATTTACCATTTTGCCCTCTTTTAAATTATATATTAATTTTAACCTTTCATTAAAACTATATAATAATATATCCCTATTTAATCACGTTTAACCAATAGTCACCCGAGTAACTAGGCCAATTACTCGAGTAAATGAGTTATTAGAGTAAAAAAAGCCAGTAACTCGAGTAAGTCATTTACTTGAATAAAAGAGATAAGTGGACAACTCAAATTTGGATGCATGAATAATTTTTATTTAAACCAAATTCTAATATCTTATATATATATATATATATATATATATATATATATATATATATATAGATAGATAGATAGATAGAGAGAGAGAGACTTGGGATGAGGATTTGTGAATCATTTACAATTGAGGGTAGTCCTCATTCAATTTAAGATTTCAAAATATGATTTTATGTTCATAGTCAATATGACTTGTTAAATATGATCCATTTTTTTTATTAATCAATGCTTATTATATCTTGCAAACACATATTTGAACTTAATATATGGGTTTGTGAGTCCAAAATAATTAAGGACAATCTCCATCCAATATCATGCCCTTTATACCCTAAAATGGTGTAACTTGCTCGTCCGTGCACTTTAACACACAAGATACCAAATGTTCTTTAAGAGGATTTACACACTTAGGAAGCGTGATTGCTTAGAATTTCATACTTTTGAAAGCCGGAGATGAGTTAGAGGCAGGATCAAGCTGTGACACGTGAAGATTCATCACACTTTCATATCAATGAAGTTTGGGAAAACCTTTACTATTTCTTTTGTTTTTGTTATTTCTATGTCCGACTAATTTCCTTTGTAGTTAGGGTTAGATGGAACTCAATCGAATCTTTATATTTCTGAATTAATCTTTAATGCAATTTTTTCTTTTTATATTGAATGAATTTCCTATTCTTCATGCTTCTATGAGTTTTTTCCCCTTATAGATTGATCTAGGGTTCATGTATAACAATAGAGATGTTAGTATATAAATCTAGGGTTCATTCTTATTTTATTTATTTTATTTTATTTTTGTAAAATATTTTTTTTAGTACATAAGAGGGCCGAAGCCCAAAGGAAAACAAAAGAAATTAAAACATAGAGTCTAGGCTCAGCAGAGGACCCAATCAAGATGGAGCTTCCTGAAACACCGCCAGATTCTCCAAGACAGTAGAAGAGTGGCCCCCGCAAGCCAGTCAGCACACATGTTCTTTTCTCTAGTAGAATGGACGAAGACAATTTTCCAATTGTTCTTACCCCAGTCTCGGATACTGGTCACCACTTAAGGAAGGTTATCTGTGGAGTTACCAATAGTAATAGCTTCAATAGCCAAGAGAGAATCACTCTCGATGATAAGTTATTTGGTTCCAAACTCCCAAGTGACCTGCAACTAGGGGTGTAAATAGGTTAGGGTAGGCTTTGACTTAAATAGGCCAAGCCTGTGTAAAAATATTGGATATGGCCTGACCTATTAGCCTATGTAGGCTCCAAATTACAAGTCTGGTCTAACTTATATTTAAAACATAAAAGCTTTGGCCTAGGCCTAGGCCTGTTAGTCTGTTTAAGACTATTAAACATTCAACAATTAAAAGAATAACTAAAATAATATTATTTAATTAGTCAAAATTATTAAATAATAATTTTATTTATTATATTTTAAATAAATAATATGATATAGGTTGGGCTGTAGGCTTAAAGGCCTGACATGTACAAAAAAGTTTATGGCTTGTTTTCTAAATATGCTTTTTTAAAAGCCTATGCCTATTCTATTTTACTACTTATAATAGGCTAAATCTAGTCTAATATAAGCTAGCTGACCTAACTCATTTACACTCCTGCTAGAATAGCGCAAAGTTTAGCCATTAGAGGATTACAAATGCCTATGTTATAATTGAAACCTGTCACCCACTCGCTTATGACAGGGTTCATTCTTAATTTACATTGATTATGGATTAGTTCTTAAAGACTTATATATCTATATAAATACACATACACACATTTTTGGGTCCGCGGCCCAGGACCAAACACCCAATAAAAGTGTGTTGCACCAATTTTTTAGCATGAAAACAAAGCAGCCTTGAGAATTGTGTGTGTGGGACGCTGAAAACTGAGGGAAAAATAGAAAGATGAGAGAGAAAAATAACCACTTTTTTGTCAAATTTAATAATAAGATTTTGTTGGAATATTTAAATTTCAGGAATGTGTTCCTAGCATTTAGCAATTCATATTCAATTGTAATTTTGTGATTTAGAGCTTGCTAGTTGCCCCAGTAGTAGATTGGATTCTCAATTTGGGCATTTTTTTAGTGATTTTCTTCTGTGCATAACTGCATATCTCTTGATTTCAATCATTTTGATGATACTTTTGGATTTCTCAACTATTATTTAGAGAGAATATTGTGTATCCATTATCATTAATTGGTGATAATAAAAAATTTGTGAAGACTCGGATAAAAGTCGTAATTTTTTTTTTCATCATGTGTTTTTCCACGTTGCTATACTTGTTGTTTGCCCCTTAACACCCATAAATCAAGAATAGCTTGCGAGTCCCATAAACTAATAACATAGAATCACAACAAACAATTTGAGTTATATATTTATTTGTGTGATTTGTGCTTGATCTCTACGATTTGTTTTACATATATTAGAAAAATCCTTCTTAGATCAGCGCGGTTTATAATATGTTTGCGTTCCACATTAAGATCAATTTTGTTATTATTATTTTCTTAGATAGGAGACTTTAAATATAATACCTACTTATACTTTGACACGGAATTGAATAATAACTTATGGGTTTTATAAGAGTTATGTTATAAGAAAAGTGATTGTGTAATGTTATAGAGATTCGTTTTGCGTGCTTTAATTTTTTATTTATTTTTTTGTTTTAAAAAGTGTGGGCCTCACAAAATGTTGTGAGTGTAGAAAAATTTGTTGTGTTATGTTAAAGGATAAAACGAAAACCCATAACTTATATGATATTATTTTTTTTTGGAAACAAAAGGAAAGTAAAAGACAAACTTATATGATATTAGTATCATGCAGTCCATCAAACAAGAAAATAAATATCTAACATGGAGATATTTATGATTATTATTATTAATTGCTATGATCGTAACTAGCCTCATTATATGATCTTCTTACATAAGTTACATTTGACCTTCCTACATGTGCAGCAATCTTCAAGCTGTATATAACATGTTGGTAGCTCTTCACATAGACATACTTATCTCTCTCTTTTATTATTATTATTATTACCCAGAAGATATAAAATTTTAGACACAAGACAAAACCAGGCCTACGGTAATGGGTTGGGCTCAATGGTTTCGTACTTTCGTTGTTGACGTTTTTGAATAGACAAAGAAAACTGAACAATCATTCTGAAAAAATAACAATATTAATTCAAGACTAATCCAATACATGTATGGAGGTTTTCCATTACTAGACAAATTCCTCGTTTCTAACATATACAAAAAAGCTACTCAATACTCAATAAATATAGTTTAGTGGAAAAAAATCCGTTTATAAATTTTTTTTTTATAAATTTTTACAAATTATACTATGTACTTTCAGAAATACATAGTATAATCTAATATACTTCTGAAATACATAGTGTAATTTGAAAGAGTTTATAAATAAAAAATTTATAAATATAATCATCTCCTAATTTAATTAACCACATATTCTGAATATATTTTTAGATACTCAATAGGTTGGGAGACAACTTAATAGGTTGGGAGAGAACTTATTTTA